CCTTTTAGCATTAGAATGTCCCCGAGTCATGCCATATGGTGCTGGGTAGTTGGTAGCCTTAAAAGTCCTAGTATCATTATACTCTATCAGGTACAATCTTGGTGAGAGTGAAAACAGGTATATTTGTTCAAGGATACTATTACACTGAAAATTTCAATTCTGGTAACCAGAAGAAAGATAATCCCAACAATTACACATATACCAGACTAACACCCTTAATCCCTTCCACCAACCAGGCTTCAGGAGGATCAGATCCCCAGGACTCATATTGCAGTTGCAATAGTTTGGTTGCCTCAGGCAATTAAAAGTATATAATCAAAAGGGAAAAAAAACTTCACAAGGCTAACAAAAACCCAAGCTGTTCCTACCTCCTCTGCTGACAAGGTGAAGTCCATTTGGGATGAAAAATCACTGCAGAGCCTTTAAACTAAACAAGATCCAGAGAGTAAACTTTTGGGACCAGACAATCTGGGTCACAAAGAATTTTAGACTTTGCTCTGAGGAGGTAGGAAGGGGAATATAAATACCTTGGTCTGTTTGATTGCAAACTCGTATGAAACCCGGTATGAGATCCCACATTAAATTTGGGGAGTATTCTCTTCCACCCACTGTGGCACACAAAGGGACACAAACAGTCCAAAACAGTGTCTGTGGCAAACATACATACATATTGCAAAACTACAGGGACAAACCCCATAAAAGAAATCAACACAGTTAAGAGCTTCTGTCCTGTTGCCACAACATCTTTTCACTGAATACATGAAAGGGAAAAAAAGAAACCTCGGTCCCACTTGGACCAGTTTTAAAAAGAAGGAACTATACATCTGGTACTAATTTTATGTTCTCTGTCATGGGCATCTGTGGCTACCCACGTGTACGTGTTCAGGGGTGTCTTTAAGGCCAGTATTCACATTTAAACGACAATAGTCCATAGTTTTTTGTTTTGCATTTGGTTTTGTTCCCAAAATGGTAGCCACTCAGTACAGCCCTTGAAAACTGCATAGGAGTCTGTATAAACAAAGACAGGCTCGTTATCATCTGAATTCCTCACAATTACACTCCAAACTGCTGTTAACTCTCCCACTCGAGCACTGCCCTCCCCCTCTGCTGGAATTTGATCTCCGGTGTCAACCTGCAAGGCTATGGCCTTGGGTTTCCAAGTCTTCGTCCTCCTCTTAAATGAGTCATCTGTAAACCAAAACCATTCCATAAATCAGAGGTATAAGGAGGTGCAGATTTAATGGGGGACAGGGAAGGGGCCTCCCCCAGCCCGATTTGAGTCGGCTCTTGTACAAAGAGAGCTTCAGGTGGTTCTTCCTCCACTCTCTGAATGTGGTAATAATGCTCCATCTGCACATACCACTTCCAGACAGACTCTCACTGCTTTCCCACCTGGCTGTTTTGAGCCAGGCAACCTTTCCTCTGGTCTCTGACAGGACCCCATAAGCCAGGCCAGCTGAACAAGGATATTTAGATATTTTGATATTGATATTTTGCCCCCTGTGTCATACATGTGAAATTTTTGTCACTGACTCAGTCTATTATTCAGTTACAAATACTTCTTTTATTTAATGTGATTTATTCTTTTTTTCCCCCTTGCTGTTCTTAATTTTATGAGATTGATTTGGCACTATCAGCAACTCAATCATATTTACGTCAACCAATTAGAGATAATTTGTGTGGGTACAGTTGCATTAGCTAACTGTAATTTCATTCTGTGGTCAGGTATTGTAGTGGTTTTCTTGTTAGTCTTTGAAACAGCTATTAATAACAAAAAATAAAATAACATGAAATTGTGGTAGCTTAAATCATTCTTAGAAGAAACAAAATAATTGCATTTTAATTCCTTTTGTTTGTATGGGTTTTTTCATCATTGCAGCTGTTCCTTTCTTCAAGAATAGGTGCATCTCTGGATAAGGAACATCAGGTCATGGGGGGATGTTTTACACAGTTAAGCTGTTTGGTTTGTGTTCTGGCCTGTTGAGTATCCATGTTCTTGGGTGTTCTGCTCCTCAGCATGGTCTCTGACCATGACTTTGACATTGCATATCTCCCAGTTTCTTTGGTTCTTGACCTCCACTTGTCCTTGCCGTACTTACAAACTCATTAACGCTGATTTGCAAACCCACAATCTTGTAGACTCAGGATTCAACAGACTTCTCTATAGGACTTCTATGCCCAGACCTTACTCACTCTGACTGACAAACCCTTTTTTGAAAGTTCAGTGAGTTTTACCCAAGCTGCCTCATGTCCATGGTCTAGCTTAATTATTCTCCTGTTCTATATTTTCAAATGGATCTTGGATTTTCCTTTGCAGTAACCTGTTTGCATTAGGCTGCTACTGGAAGTGCCTTTTAGAAAACATGGCTGGGAGCTGTGAGTTGATGCTAAAAATATCAGACAGCTCAGCTGTGTCTTAGGTACTGGTCACAGTAGTGGAGAGGCACTGCAGTGTCATGTGTAAGCCTGAGGTAAAACTGCACTTCAGCAAGTCTTTTGTGAAGGAGGTAGGACTTGATGCTTTGTCAGATCTCTTAATAGATAAATTTTCTAATCTAAAGTATTTCTCTGTCTCTCTTCACAAATGAGGGACCTTTTACCCATTGATCATAAGAAGCAACTGTTCCCAGGTCCAATTTAGAAGCATGGCTAGTTTTCCCTATGCCTATTTTTCCCCTCTAGAATAACAAAGTTTTCCTTGGACTATCTTCCTCTTTCTCGCTTACCATTTCAAGTATTTCTATGGCTCTAATTCATCTTGTTTCGGTCAAAAAAAGGGACAACTACATCCTCTGGACTCTGAGGTTCTGTTAGCGTGAACTAGGTACGCCAAGTGTGCAATATACAATCTGTCCTTAAAAAGATATTCATATTATGTCATCTATCAATCAATTGATTCACAATAACTGTGTGTATTACCATGGTAATCTGGAAATGTTCTTATCTTTTACGTATTAGTTAAACATGACAAAAGATTTGGTTCTTTTGCACTGATTATTTGAAAGAATATCCTTCCCCACTTTGAGAATTTTAAGGAAAATCCACAAAACACAAAATTCTGCTTAATTTTTAGTTTGTCTTCCAAATCACAAGTACTACATTTGTCCAAAATTACATTATTCTTAAGACAGTGGCAACAAATATATTCTTATACTTGGAGAAATTAGTATGTTTTACATTCCCCCAGCAACAGCTGGTTTAGTCTGGCATTATACTTTATTCCAGAGCTGTTGAGGGATTTGTTTAGCCCAATAGGATTTGTATTGATTTCTGTTTCACTTTTTTTTCTGATCTTTATTCTTGTTTTTTTCTCTTGTATTGATTCTGAAAGCTTTAGCCATTCGGGTTATTACAAACTTTGCTATATTTATGCTGTAATTCTACTACAATAATCAAGAACTCAGACTTTCACAGCTATTAAAAACAGATGCACACACCCCCAACATAAAAGCACACACACAACTGAAATTGCAACTGGTTTCCTGGAATCTGAAGTATCTCTGTAAACAGCTTACCATATATTTTTTTGCATGTATATTTTTTCAGGAGACTTAGGGACATTAATTCATAGTATTAATGGACATTATCAGATGATATTGCTCATTCTGCTTACTGAAATGTGGATGTGGAATGTTGGTGTAAGCCAATGAGCTCTGTTTTCTGTCATATCTGAGTGTTTAACCTATATGGACCAAAGAGCTCTATAAATATGAGACCATTGCAAAAGGAGTACAAGGATTCTTGTCAATAGAAGCAACTATAAGTAGACAAACCCAAAGTTTAAAAATAATTTTTTTCCTGGTTGATTAGCAAATACACTTAACATAAGCAAATTCTCTTAAATGAATAAAATGATCAGGATAAACTCAGCCATTCCAGCAAATCCAAATTTATGTTTCTCCAGTTAAACCCAGAAATAGCACTGCTTTAGCTGTTTGTAGATGCTCTGATATGAAACTATCATTTTGCAGTATACCCTGGATTGGATCAAAACCCACAAACAGTAGTTGCCTAACTTTAAAAGTCAGATAGTCCCATAGAAGTCAGAGGGACTAAGTTGTTTAAAATCAAGCAATCCTAAGAGAATCTCTCTTAGGGAAGAGACAAAAAAAAAAGTCTTGTAAGGATATCAGTTCCAACAGCACTGGTTATTAAGATAACTCCAATCTCTTGGAATTATGCTAGTTAACCCAGTGAATCAGAAATCTCTTTGATACCAGTGCTGCAGATCAAACCTTGCCAGACTTCAAACTGCAGCTGTGTCCCAAGAGGAAAGAACTTTCTCCATTGCAGGCAGAATTTGGTCAGCTTCCAAAAGTGATTTATTCCTCCCTTCTTAATAAAACATCTTCTGCAGTTTTATGTGTGACACCCTCTGTAGCTTGGAGAGAGCTCTGGGCATAGAAAAACTACCTGTCCCACCTCCAGGTGGGAAGCATATTGAAAAATATTTGCACACACAGTGGGATGTGATGAGATGATGACCACAGAGTGAACTGAGGTTGAGCAGAGTGAATGTTTTTATGTGGCCCTACTGTAAGCACCTGAATCATAATGTCAGTTCCTACTATGGGATAGGGAACTGCTGTAGCAGTTATACATCCTACTTGCTTGAATGAATAAGGATTCTTATTCAATCAAAATTCTTCACTAATTCTCTAGAAATGTCGATGTTTTCTGTAGCTCAGTAGATTTGAAAACTATTCTGGACTGTCAAGGAACTGAGCTTTATGTATAATTTACCATGTACTATGGTCCATGGCCCACAGAGATGAAACTAAAGATGGATAACTGTTGAACTTGAGGATAAAACACAAATCTCCCCACCACATTTAAATGAATAGAATTTTATTTTAATGAAAAGCAAAGGCAGATACAAACTGTGACTGAATCAAACAGGCAAACAAAAATTAGATGCAAACCTGATAGACCCTGAGTAAAATGGCTTTTAAACATTCAAACTTGCTTCAATGACTTCCATATCATATGCTACATATTACTCATTTTCCTGCAGACTTCTTTTGTGATAAGTTCTGGAACAGAGAAAGAACTGCATTACAGAAAATAAAGCCTTGTGAGTTCAGTATGTTTTTTGCAGGGACATTTGAAAAAAACAGAGCTGGGTTTTATTTTGTTTCTGAAGAAATTAATGATAAAATTAACAGATAAAGTACAAGTAAGTTACATTACTTCAACAGAAACATGAAACTGATTATAAAAGTGAGTAATAGAAAATTCTCATGCCTGTCATTCTTCTATTGATGCTAGAGGCAGTTGCATCTTCATACAGCTCAATCAGGGGCTTGAAATGAACCTTTAAACCCCCTTTATTTCCCAAAATGACACTTCAAAATATTTTTTCTCTTTGTATTGTGACACAGACTGACATTCAAGAAATCTGAAGTTAGGATTGACATTTAGAGAAAAAACACACTGTAATAAGTTTTTATAAGGAATTTGTGAGTGGCCAAAATACAATGCTAGTTAAAAGGATGCCATTATCCTGTTTCTCCATATTCCCATCTTCCATTTAACTGGCAGCTGGAGATAAAGATTAATTTAACTCCTAAATGCATAATCTTTTGCAGTTTTCAATAAACTAGTGATTTGTACTACTCCCTCAAATACATCTTTCTTGTGCTAGAAACATATCTTTAAATTATTCTTTGTGCTTTCCTTTTCTGTAAAGCATGATATTCCTGGACATTTGGAAACAGGCTAAAACAAATGAGTATTAGAGTGAACCTGCAATGTGAGCATGTTTAGCTGTGTACATGATGTAAAACTGCTTATCTGAAACCACTGCTAATCATCCTAAATGACAGCTTTAAAATTATCACTTAAAATACATAATGAAAATGTCATACCATTTGCAGAATTTCAATTTCTGTTTGAAGAGTCTCACAGATGCTCTCCCAACTATCATCTTTGCTTTTTTCCAATTCTTTCTTAAGTCTGTGTCCGAAAAAAAATAAATTTGGAGGTCAGAGAACTGTTGCTGGGGCACTATTTTTTTCAGCTTTGGTCCCAATTGTCAATTTGACTTATGTGAGAAAAGCCTCATTGATCTATTTTCACGATCAGGGTTTAAGTTTGCTAGTTTTGTAATTGGCATTCCAATATGCTGCTCTCTCACAATACTCTTGGATTTCATTCAGCACTGGCAGTTGTGATGGCAATGTAAGGAACTTCAGAAAATGACATTTTTGGCTTTTTCAAAGTGCATCTTGACTAAATACTTTGTTAGACAAATTTCTGGACCGTGTTGTTTTCACCAACCGTGAAAGATTTATGGCCTCATTAGTCATCATTTTCCTTATTTAAACATGTGAATTTGAATGTTGATACTTAGGAAGTACCATATGTTCTCATTTTCCCTGGGTATCTACTTGTAGCCACTGGTGGAGACAGAATGTTGGATTAGATGGCTCCTCTGCCTGACCCTGTGCAAGCATTGCTCCATACCCCTCCACAGATTCCTTTGCTGTTGCTTCTGTTCTCTTCCCACTGCTCCCACTATTGTTCAGCACTTACTGACTGTTTCACAAGTCTCAGCCAGGAAGTCTCCAACTTTTCTACTATAAGGCTTATTTTTAATATAGCTATTTCTCCATTCTAAAGATCATTTAGTCCTGCTAAAAGCGGACACCTAAACTTTGCACATCAGTGGCTGTAGTGGTTTAAATTAATACTTGGGAGGCCAAGAGAAATCTATGCCAGAGCTTTCAGTAGCCTGATGAATACAATGTGATGAGATTATACTGAGTCTTTCCATGGTTGTCATAAGAGAAGCAAAATGAGAAAGCTGAAGTTGTTCACCCTTAATACAGTTTCAGGAAGCAATGTGAATATTCTGAGACATACAAACAGACCAAAAAAAGGAGGAAAAGTATATATTCTGCTCATTATTAAATAGCTAAACTGATGCATTAAAGTAGGACCTTGTTTCTTCTGAAGTTGAAAGAGGAGGTAGAAACCATTTTTTCTTTCACATACTATAATAGACAATAAATTATTTAACCCTATTATACAGATGATGCACCTCTTTAGCTGTCCTACTGCAGATAGAGTTAGTTTTCTATACAAGAAAATAGCTCTATTAAAATTAAAAGGTACATCTTCAATGAGAGGAATAGCTTAGTCACTGTGCAATATTAGAATAATAGCATAAGACTGGACAGTAAGATAATTTTGCTGTTCCTGTGGAAAATGCATTGTGGAAAATGCAAATATCTTGCCATCAATATGAAAAAGTATGAACTCTGTGTGCTTCTATTATTAAGGAGTAAATGCTTCTTCTTTCAGAAATAGTTCTCCTGAATTCACAACACATACAAGTGTCAAACAAAAGAAAATTTTGAACTGCACTTTAAGAAATGAAATATTCACTGCACTGTAGTACATTGTTACTTTGCAGACCATTTCATTGAGAGAAGTTCATTTCAAGGTTCTAAGATCAGCTCCTGATCTTGATTAAATCAGCTTAACTTCATTGTCTTGGTTCACCATTTTTTTTCTCAGTGTTCTCTGTTAGTGTGGTATTAGAACCCTAATTTGCTTAAGACAAACAAAACCCTACTTTGCCTAATTTGCTTTAGGAAAAGGCATAGTCTGTGGATCTCAGAGAAAATGCTCTCTCATTGTCTTCCACACTGTAAAACTGATGCATAGTCTCTTTGCTAGTTGTCTGCTAAGAATGATACCAGTCCATGTTAGGTGTACATTGAGGAGAGAACAACTAGAAGATAAGCAGTAGGAGTTGCTTATCTGTGCCTTGGGATTGTGAATTAATTACTATTGCTGATGTGCTTTGGAACTAACATTTTACATATGGATTTTAAAAATTTTATTTCAATATTTTATAAAACTTTTAAATGCAGTGACAGCACAACTCCTTACATAGCATGGGTAGTGGTGATAAAAGACACTCATTCAAATGTGGTGTTTAATTCTTACATTAATCAATTGATTCAGCTTTCAGGTCTTCCTTCTTTCTTATTTAGAAGCTAGATAATTACAGTATGTGCCAGGAATATTATACTCACAAAACAAGGACTGTCTGTTAGGTTACAGTCTACAAAATTAATGCATTGGAGACGCCTGAGTTACTGAATAAATGATGAAGTTTTACCAGAAGGAATGTGAGACAATGGAACTATTGAAAGATAAAAATGCTTAACCTGGAAGCAGATTTAGTTTTTTCATTTTACATTGAAGATAAGCAGGATATTCTTATTCATCTCTCCACTATCAGATTGAATGTGCAAACCAATTATTCATGAAACTATACTGTCTAGATGAAGGGCAGGTTTTCTGTCACCTTTGGAAATGGAAAGAGATGTAACTTTTGCTAGAACAAGGATTAATATGACAATTATACCTTCTTTATGACTAGGAGAAAACGCAAATCTCTTAGAAAAAATAATCTGAAAAATCACATTAGCATTTGGCCCTCCCTGTCCTTTGTTTTTGTTTTATTTTTATCATTTTTGGTATCCTAGGTGACAATAAATTGTGTCTTTCAAATAAGACACTGCACTGGACTAATAGTGTGTTAGTAAGTTACAGAATCACAAGTAATGGGCTCTAATGAACAGCTGGAGCTGAAATGCCATAGCAAAACTGAGTCTTAAATCAAATAGGTGGAACAACATCAGCATTTTTTGGATTCTTGCTTGTCCCAGACTGAGCTCTGCTATCAATGGCCCATTTTCCATTACTCCTGAATGCCAGAAGTGACAGAGATGAAGAAGGAGGAGATCACTGAAGATGATCAATTTTGCAGTTTTGAAAGGAGCCCAGCTATTAAATGTCATTGGCATTTGTGGTTGATACACACTCTTCTTGCATTTCAGCTGTACATGCACAAGGCAAATAGGAAAAATAATTGCGAAATCAATACCTGTTGGTATTATAAATTGAACTATGAAGAAAATAATGTTATTGTCAAATAGGTTTCTTCGAAAATCATCCATAGACTTAAATTACTGGATCAAGACTTCAGTATCCAAAACCTGCATCCCAAGACAAATTTTATGCAGAGACCTCAAAGGAGGAATAATTTGTGTAGAAGGCAGGGTGAATATGCATTTTTAGAGTCTTTTTCTTCCTAAGTGGGAATGAAAGACCCTACTTGGTGGTTGCTGGAGTTGCAGAAGGAGCAGACTGTCTCTTAGTCATGACTTGCTGAGAGTTGCCTTGTTTATGCCCACCATTTTATTTTTTAATCATAAATTCAAGGGAAAACATGATGGTATATTACAAAACAGAACTGCTTGACACTGATATACAGGGCATAGAGTTCATGGTACAAAATTAAATTCCCTGAGAAATTATATATAACTTGAGACTATGTATGTTGATTTTCCTAAATCTTATCATAAACATCAGGAGATACATTGATCAAGGTTTTCAGACTTTATTGAGACTGGAGGAAAGCATTGAATACTTTGGTTTATTGTCTCAAGCAGAAGTAGAGATAATGCATTGAGGTCATTCACTCTCAGTTCAGTACTGGGACTAAATTAATGTGTATATTTCTATAGCAAGCACAAGGTTTTGCTGGGTATTTACAATTTGCTGACACTACTAAACAGAAAATGCTATTGATACAGCTGAAGAAGTCAATAAATTTCAGACTATTACCAATTGATTGAGGGAGGGAAAAACAAGTCCTAAATGGAATTCAGTATCTCAAAGTATAAACTCAAGCACTTGAGTTACACAATTATATTATAAAAGTCTGTGCTTGATGGAGCAGAAATAGAATAAAAATTAAGAAAGTGATCTAGTAGTAATAATAAATGCTACCAAGAATATGAAACATGAAAGTGAAGAGGGAACTAGACTACATAACAATGGGAATTAAATGTAGATTAAAAGAAATAGAGCTACCTTAGGTAAAATAAGAAAGTTTCAGCTTTTACTGTCCTGGATCAGATGCTGAATGCAAAACATGTAATTATCATTGATTAAAGCTTGCCTTTTATGAATGCTGTCAGGCAACTATTTATAAGAGCAGTTATAGGTCTTAAAAAGTGTGGAGATATTTAGATTTTTCAATTTATATTCCCCAAATACATCAAATATCACAAGACATCTTTAAGGAATATATTATTACAGATGAATAAACATGGAAAGGTTAAGGCACACTTAATTAAACTGCACATTTAGGATGAGATTTGCTTTTGTGCAGACAAAACCAAAGATATATGGACTATTTTCCACAGGAACTGTGAGAATGAGTTACACAGGAAAGAAAAATGCACAAGCATCAGAGATGTGAAAATGAAATGTTTTGCCCAGGGTCAATAAGGCTGCTATTGCAAGGCAGGGAAAGTAAATAGGGGTCAATGATCCTTCTAGTTCAATTATCTTGATTTTTCTATTGTACAGGGAAAATTAGATCTTAATCTGGATATATTAATACAGCTACCCTGTTGCTGAAATTAGTATCTCTATAATGTACTGCTGTGCTTCACATGTATAATTTTCTCAGAGCTCAAAACGATTTAGAATTGCCTTTGTTTCCTTCTGCATCACGGGCTCTCCATGCTCTGCTCATCTGCCAGGCTGAAGATGTCTCTTTTTTGACAAGTAGGTGAGAGATTTATACACAGTATTCTTACACCTTCCTGTTTTTTTGTTGGAAATAACTCTTGCTTTTTTCTTGTCCACAGCTATATTTACTTTTGATGTTTATATTTGTATTTTGCTTACATAGTATGTTCAGGCCTCTCCTTTGCTTCCAGATACCTATTATTGAAGTCTTTAGTTGTGTACAAGTAGATAAACTTGCACTGTGTATAATTATACTCCTCCTCTTTTCTAGCAACTCCACTTTACAAGATATAGAAATTTCTATTCAAAAGTCATTCTTTAAAACATTAAGCAAGACCATCTCTGACTGTAGTTACCTTCTTCAAGCCCTAGAATTTCTATTTGCAGACCTGTAACTGTTGTTACTATTAGTAATTTCCTTACTTAATTTTTTTAAACATGTCTTCCCCAAGTTAACTATCAGTTTCCCATGTAGGATAACATCAAATCCTTTATTAATGCCTAGCTGAGTGGCATTTGCATTTTCTTTGTCTAACCAATCTGCTGTCTTACCAAAGAAAGACATCATTAATCAGATTTGATCTAATTTTTGTAAATCCATACTGCAATTCATAATGGAAACCTATTTTAACATAATTCAAACTATAATAGTTCCACTAGGCACTGCTATTAAAAAGAAAAGCTCAAAAAATCAATGAGGAGATTGCCATTGAAAAACTCATTTTGAACCACATATATTACTCCAGAGACTGATATTCCCTGATTATAAAATTTAACATAAAATTAGATTGCAAAAAAAATAATATTTTAACCCATCAGAGCCATCCATGGCCTTAGGCAGTTTACTGTTAGTGTGAAACTTTTGTTCAGCTCTACTGAATATATGTCCTATGATTTGAATGAAAGAAAGAATTACTTTTTCCCTTCCTAATTTTGATAATGGAGTTTCTTTTTTTCTGGATTACGAAGTATAAGAAGCAATACTATATTTTTAGGATTTAGACAAGTATACAAAGCCTTGAACTATTTACAAAGTAAGCAGATTTCATGCATTTCCTTTCTGCTACATCTTTTCTGAAGTAGAAGGGAAAATCAGGTTTCAAAGAAACATTTTATCCTTAGTCTACCTTTGAAATAGTTTAAAAAACATCAGGTTTAGGTAGAAATGCTCTTTTCTTAGTCTAAGTGAACTTTAATTAAAATTATTTCTAGGCTGCCTTACTCAAGGCAACATGTAAATTTAAAATTAAAATGTGAAAGAAGATAAATAATTAATCTAGCAATTACAATTAATATAATAGTGAAATGACATAGCTAGGAATTTACTGGCACCAGTTATTCTCTGCTTGACTCCTGCTGTTCCACTCAAGTGATGCTACTTGCTCCCTGCCAGGGAAATGGGACTCAAGAGAGCTGATGCCAAAGTTCTTTCCTGCTGTTTTGTGTTTGGGGTTAGCATTGCCAGAACAGATGATTAAAATAAGGTTTTTGATCTTAATTGCAGAACTTTTCTTAGATATTTGTCTGATTTATGCACCTGTGTCTTGAGGCTTGCATTTTCCAGGGTGCCTGCATTAAGAGGCTACAGCATCTTACCCATAACTCTATCTGTGCTTAACATTCAAATTTTGTTTAGCTTTTTTTCTGCATCTGATGTGTATTAGGACAAGCCTATAACTGCAGCCCTGACAGCTGTTAGAATTACCAGTGTGTGCCTCTCATGACCTTTCGTAATTCTTTGATGGATTTGAGAGAAATTTTACGAAACTGCAGACATGGTATAGGGCATTTTTCTCAGATGAAAGATGAATTACTGTAATTTGAATTAGTTGGCTACACTCTTCAGCTGGAATGCAATTTACTTTAAGATATATACTTAATTGTAACGAAGATTCTTGCCTTGCCAGCTACTTTTGATATTGATTTTTCAGCTGGGACTTGGTATGTGATACAGTAACAGACTTACAGGGTGATCTGGGAGCTACATACATCAGGTTATTGATGCTGACTGTCTCTCACATTTGTTCTAAGGAAGCATTAAAAACATTTGCACTATTTAAAAAGTGGTGTGGCTTCCTGCTCTGTGAAAAAAATAATCAGATTTTGTTCTTATTACATAGGGAAAAAAAAGTATTTTTATCCACATTACTTGTGTCAAAATACTATTGCCTTTATATATAATAAAAATGCTTTTCAGTAAAAACTAAAACTCTATTCTTTCAGTATATTTGGTATGGGGAAAAAACATTTTTAGGCTAAAAAGGGTTTTTTCTCAAACACAGCAGGCTCAATCACATTGATTTTAACATAACAAAAATGGACTCCCATTAAAATATACGTTTGTATATGAGTGTATCTCAAGAGGGAGAACCTTCAAGGACGAAAACTATGCAACCTATCTGGGCAACTTTTTCTTTTGCTGCACTATCCTCATGATAAAAATGGTTTTCCTTAAATTCATTCTAAATCATCTTGTTTCAACTTCTGCTTTTTGCCTTTTGCTCTCCTACTGTGCAGCATTGTGCAGGTAGATCCTGGCTCCATCGTCTTGATGACATCCTTGTAGGTATTGGAGGGTGATCAGGTAACTTCCAGGGGACAATATATCTACCCTGCACTATTTATAGCACTTTAAATCCCCTTTCATTCTCTTAATTCTGTAGTCCAAACCAAGAAGTGATGAGTAGGCTTTGTTAAAAACAAATGAACAAAAAAGAATTGCTAGAGTTGTAGGACTCTGATAAGGTTTGGGATAACTCTAAAGAGCATAGCACGGTGACGTGGAGAGGTAAAGAAATGAGGATTGCCTGCTTGGCTCTACTGAAAAGCAGAATCTATTAGTGCTGACATGGAAGTACAGTAGCATAACTATGTTGCTTCTGGCATCTGAGTTAACTTATTCAGGGTTATCTCTCTCTACAAAGCATTGAGCTTTTCTGATCAAAAGCAAGTGAAAGATAAAAGTATGGTTTAGGCAAATCTGTCCTAAATTTTTTTCTAGTATCTGAAATGACAAAATATTTCAATGTCAAAAAAATGTATTCACTATATTATAACACTTCTAGAAGTGCTTGCATTTTGTGATTGTAGAATAGCAGTAGGAGCACTTTATATTTTGCACTACATGCAATTATACAATAATCTAAGCTTATCTTGACCATTCAAGGAGGCATTTGATGAAAAAAAGGAAATCACATCATCCTTCTTGCTTTGGTTGTAAATGACATTTGCTGATTTTTTAATTAATAGAATTTAATAGGTTTTATCCAGTTTTCCACCCAGGTAAAACCAAAGTATGGTTCTGCAGTGCTGTGAGTTAATTTCATTATATTGAAATATTCTTCCCCCTACTCTGCTCTCGTGAGACCCCACCTGGAATACTGTGTGGAGTTCTGGTGTCCTCAACATAAGAAGGACATGGAACTGTTGGAGCAAGTCCAGAGGAGGCCATGAAGTTGATAAGAGGACTGGAGCATCTCCCCTGTGAGGACAGGCTGAGGGAGTTGGGGCTGTTCAGCCTGGAGAAGAGAAGACTGTGTGGAGACCTCATAGCAACTTTTCAATATCTATAGGGCCTACAAGGAGCTGGAGACGAACTCTGTGTTAGGAACAGCAATGATAGGACAAGGCATAATGGATTCAAATTGAAAGAGGGAAAGTCTATGTTGGATGTGAAAAAAGTTTTTTACTATTAAGGGTCGTGAGACAGTGTTCAAGGCCAGGCTGGATGAGCCTTGAGCAACCTGATCTAGTGAGGAGGTGTCCCTGCCCAGGGCAGGGGTTGGGACTAGATGATCTGTAAGGTCCATTCCAAACCCTAAATTCTATGATTCTATGATGACAGACATACATGGATTTGAACAATCCCTAGGATCTCAGTGGCAGAGCTGGGAATCTAAACTAATATAATGTTTACTAGCTACTTCTGTACCTTACACACAGGAAACTTGTTCTAGAAAACTAATTACACCAATTTGGATATTCAGTTGCAACATGGCAGTAAAGCACTCCAAGGGAAGTGTGTTATTTAGAAGGAAGCTGACAACCTCATGTATCACAAACCCTAATATATCACGATTGAATGAATAATGTAAACAAGTGAATTATAACATGTTCTGTTAGAGAATTGCTGCTGTTATTATTATTTACATAGTGTCTTCCATGTATATGTTGAATGCAAATTTTTTGCTACTGTTTGCAGGATTGTGAGCTAATTAATTTTTATGCTGAGGGAATTTTGGCCATGTCTCAACACCATGTAAGAGGTTGAAAAGAGTTAGTAATAGGGCTGATATATCATTTTCTTTCAAAAACTGATATTCAGCAAAAAATGGGCCATTACCAAATCATCTTTCAGAAAATTGCTCAGGGTTCTCTGCAAAGTTATAACTTTTTCCACTGAAAGTTTTCAGAAAAAAACCACCCCACTCTATATATTTATTTTTGTCAAAAGCTTAGAAATACATAGGGGGGAAAAAAACCCATGATGGTAATAAAAGTTGTGTTCTCCTTAACAATTCTGTTAGAGAATCTTTTGGACTAGATTTTTCAGGAGAAGTTCCTTTGCATTGTCTAGTAAATGTTTCTAAATATCCACAGGTACTTCCATCTGGAACATCACGTAATAGGAAAAAGATGGTAAGTACTGTGATATGGAGTTTTCTGCATTGGAAGAATTCATCTGTTTTTTTTAAATTACATTATTTTCTATAAAGTGAAAACCTAAATGTCTCACTTAAGCAAACTGACAAGTAATGAGTCATTACCATGCAGCTCCTGACAAGCAATATTCACTGTTAAGGGAGACTGTGCAAGGTCTTCTTCTGTTTTCATAGGCACATTTTACAGAAAAGGTAAAATAGACATTGCCACCAGGACTGGCCTGCACTTACAGACCTCATTAATATTATACTCCTACCTTAAGCATTCAGGATCAGTCTGAGGTTTTTCAGTGACTTGGACTTTTTCTGCTTCTAAATCTTCTGTCATTCTTTCAGCCTCCCTGATTGCTTTCTCAAGGTCTGAACAGGAAATCAGAATTATCTTATAAATATATATTAATCATTCATATTCAAAGACTTTCTACATTTTCTAAATTTATATTTTCTAATATTTCTTCATGAAACTGTTTGTAGGGTAAAGACATCTAAATAAAGAACATGGATTATTTTATTATTATTGAAACTTCATATTGCAATCTGGAAAATTTCACTCCGTTTCCCAAATAATTTATGACCATATTTACTGCTTTTCTTAACTCTGTGACAAGTTATTTACACATTTTTTAAAAAGTTACTAAAGCACTCTAGGTTACTTTATTTTAATCCAGATATCCAAATTATCCCTATTGCTCTGATCAGCTTTGACACAGAAATTTTGTGGTTCGTTCTGTATCTTTTTAGCTTTTCTTTTATAGAGTTTCTTGAGTATTCAACAGATTCCTCCTAGATTTGTGCATAGGTGTCCTTTTTTATTAATGCACAGAATTCCATATGTGGAGACACAAATGTCAGTAAAGAGATGACAGTTGAATTTACATCTCAGAGTTTAGCACCTGGGACAAATCTGTCTTTATTAGTCCAAACCACGTTGCTTGTAAAACATCTGCATTTTAGTGACATGCTTTAATTATAGGTTAATGGGTTTTAAACAATATTTATGTTGATTTTAAGTTCATTTTGAAACACTAAATTCTCCTTTTAAGTATATTACTTACCAGCAAAAGTAAAAAACTCTTTTTCGTATTGACAGCTCATGATTCAGCAAATCTGTAGACCTCAGTAGCACTGACATTAAAAGAAATCTCATTGAAATCTATAATCTTTGTTATAAATTGTAAAATTGCATTCCAATCTTGCTACTATGATTCTTTTTTTTTTTTTTTTAGACACGAAATTTGGCAGAAAAAGTTTCTCAAAATCTTTTGTCAAGCCAGAAATAATGAACATAACATGTAATTATCAGGCACACCTTTGAGTTCACTTTGGAGAGTAAGTAAATCCTGTGTTAATTCATTCTTCTGCAGCTGGAGTGCTTTTAACTGAACATTTTTATGTTCCATTGACTCCATTTCTATGAATAAATACATTGTAAATTAAAATGCATTGCAGTTTTAGCCTTCATGACACAATCTTAAATATTCTTAATTACTTCTACCAGTCTTCAGCTAGTCAGAAAGAACCTTAAATACAAACTGAAATCAATTAAAATCAGTAAAATAAGACCCAGTTCTTGGGAAATTATGTCATATAATGTATTTGTAGCTATGAAGGAAAGTGGATTTTTTAATGTTATTAGGATGTTCCACATATTTGGGCATAAAAGAATGTTTTGCTTTAGTGTTATTTTGGCTATAAAGAAAGGAAGATGACTTACTGAATAGGTGGAGAACAGACACCTCTCAGCAGGACTTAAAAAAACCTCTTAATTTGTTTAATGTTTTGGGTGTTTGAACCTGACTATTGACAGCATCTGGAATTAATTGTGAGTATTTTTCTAACAACTGGAGGTCCTGACATAATTTCCTTGTTAGGAGTTACTTAAACTTTTCACTTCAGAGTTGTCAGTGTGCTCAGGACTGTAGCAGATGAAAAGACAAGTTGTACCTCAAAAAAAGTGCAATTAAAAGATGCAGTGAAGATGGCAACCGAGTGTAAGGAAGAATGTTAGTTACCTTTCAGGTTCTACCAATCATTTAACTGCCCAGAACTGCCTGAATATGTAAAAATTAATTGCTCAAAGTAGCACTTGCCACCAAACATAGACTTTTTTCAGTCATAGATTAGAATCACAGCCACAGGAGATATGAAAGAAGGTATGACCAAGTGCAAACTCAGATAGTCCTGTTTCAGTAACTTTATAGCAGATACCAGAAATTGAAAGTGCTGGTGCTTGACAAATCAGGAGACTGGAAAGGACTTTGAGGGGTCATCTACTGCATTCCTTCTCCTGAAGGTAGGATCAGCTGTACCTCTGTCATTTCAGGCAGATGGTCGTCTAAGCTTTTTTTAAACATCTTTGGTAGTGGAGACTCCTAATTTCTTTGACAATAGAATCTCCTAAGGCAGTGTTTCAGTTGTTCACTGCTCTTAGAAAAATTTCTAAACAGTCAGCCAGACTCTCCCTTATTGTGGTTTACACTTGTTTATTTTTATCCAGTTCACTGTAGGCATGGAGAGTATATTAATTTCCCTTTTTTACAGAATCCTTTAATGATTTGAAGACTGATATCCATCTTTCACCAGGTTGTTTTCCTGCATAGGTTAAGCAGTCCCAATTTTTTTAATTTCCTCTTTCTCATGTGCTCAAGAATTCTGATCACTGTCACTGGTCCCATGTGGATTCTCTCCAGCTGGTCCACATTTTTTCTTAAAGTTTAACATCAAAATGAAATGCACAGTACTCCAGCTAAGAGTTTAATGGCCCCAAATAGACTGAAAAATTATTTTCCATGTCTTAGAGGTCAGAATTATGTTTATGTCTCAGTGTGGTGTTGGCATTCTGATGTCACTGACTCATGTCCAGCTCGTGATCCATGATGACCCCCATTTCCTAGCGGAAGGGTTGATTTTCAGTGTGACCCTGTGTTCTGAGAGGTCTCAAATTCTGCATCTCAATTCAAAGATCAAGTGGCAGTAAAAGGCCAATCCTACAAGCCAATTGTACATGCAATTCTTTTGAAGTTAAGTAAATGTACAGAGCTCAGCCAAAGATGGTTGTAACCAGTGCAAAGCTAATACAGTCTCTTTGTATGACAGTGCAGTTCTGTGCTGACATTAGATGTTGGGAGCCACTTCTGCAGGTTGACTTCTTACAGTGCTCACAGACAGAAAGGACTGAAGAGGATAGAGAACAGAGGATGCTTTAATTATGCTTGTGTAATGTATTTCAGACCATACTCTTTGAGTTCAATGCTGAAAGGAAGTTCCAGACATCAAGGGAATGGAATTAAAATTACTGGTGTGCACAGCTATATTTTACTGATTTGCATTAATCCAAGATAAACTAGTTTCATATAAGACTTACCATTTTTCAACAGAGCTGCCTCATTCTCTAAATCATTTAATTCAGTCTTGGCTTTTTTTTTAATCAGAAGATCTCTATTACTTGTTAGGCCATACTCATTGTTAAACTCTGTTAATTCTCTGATAAAATTATCTTCCTCTTCAGTCATTTTTCTCTTTGCATCTGCCTGAGAAAAAGAAAGGGAAAATTGAATATTCAGGTGAAAAAAAAAGAAAGTCTTTGGTAAGCTAGGCAGGATGAAACATGCTGTGGGTTTTCATCCTTAGACCTGTAGTACAAAAGTAAATAAATAAACAATAAATAAATAAGTAAATAAAATGCAAAAGTAAAGAAAATATTTGCTTTTCCTGACCTATAAGAACATGAAAATGGTCTACAGCTCTATCATTATGCCTGTTGTTTTAATCTTTTTTCCTGTGAAAAAATTAGTAGAATGTTCTGTTTAAAGTCAGTAGCATAGTATGATCATTCTTCTTTGGGTTTTCTCTTTAGATAAATAAAGGTGTTGTTTATCACTCTGCAGAAAGCAGACTCACTTTAACTCCCTCAATAACTACCAAGAAAGCTGTCATTGATAGGAAGTCACTGCTTAATTTTCTGTAAGAAAAATATTCAAAAGAGAAAAGTTATATTAAATGCTTTTAAAAAAAATCTTCATTGATTGCTAAATTAACTGAAATGGAATTAGCCTTATATACTGGAAAAAATAAATGATAGCCCATATATCAAGCTCGACTGTTTAAAACTAAAAGAAACTTCACACATTTATTTTAAATACTTTGGATCCTGCAGAAATATTGCTTAATTAAAAGGATATCTGCCTAAAGGTTTGGGGTTAATGCTGGTGAGGTGTACTGAACGCTTAAAATTTAGCTCTGCTGATTTAAAGTGCAAATACATATGCAGAGAAGACTACTCATCTGTGCCATTTCACCATAAGTACACATCCAAGGGTCCTCAATGGAGTAAGAGGAAGGCAATATTCAGGTTAGCCTATGAGAGAACTGAAAAACTCATTGCCTGTTGGAAGTAACTATCCTTGAAGAGGTTGCTAGGTATGTCTGGCATCAAAGATACTGTGTGCTCTGTCAGGATTGCCTCCCTGAGTTTGCTAAAGTGTGGTGTGAGCCTCCCAGAGTTTTCCCTTTGATCCTTTCCAATATGTTTTATGGTGGATGAGGCAATGCAATTTAAGGTGAGTTTACTTTTACAAAGGAAATAATGTCAGAACTGGAGTTCAGTCACACAACAGCAGACATCAGAAAAATGAAGTCAAGAATGGTAAATCAGCTTCGTAGAGGAACTGTAGCATACATTACCTTAGATCGTGGTTTAAATTAAAAGTGAGAATTTATTTGCATTAACATTGTTACATTTGATAGAGTGAAAAAAAATGTATCTCCCTGATTGAAAACATTAGTTCTTCCAGATTTTTAAATCTGAAAGCTGATTGCTCTCATACAGTAGAAAAGAGATGTCTGAACACTGTAGCTGGAAACCTACCAAGATTTTAAGAAGATTGCTTTTTTGATTAATAAGTTCAGCTTTCTGTTTTTCTAAGCTGTCTTCACGTTTCTTCAGCATTTCTAAGCAGAACTGCTTTTCAGACAGATGCTGAGCCTTCCAAGAGAAAACAAAATATGTTATAAAGTAAGGTTAGTATTTTATTGTTTCATATACTTTGATAATGTACATAAGGATCTTGGTCCAGTTAAAACACAGTTGGCATAGCCAACTAGCAAAAGCACAGCAAAAGCATAACAGCCCTTTTTTTCCCCCCCAAGAATCTTCCAGTATACCACTAAACTTTTGAAAAGTCTCCTTTCTTTAAAAGGCACACTTCGTGGTGGTCCATCTATCTAAAATGGCATTTCAAAGTTTTTCAGGGTAAACCCAGGAAAATTATTGACCACATGGGATCTTTTACCCAACATAACACAGTGTTCTCCACCTAACTGTGTAAAGCTCATCATGTCCCAAATCAGACAATGACATCAGAGGGCCAGGGGTCCAGCACTGTTGTTTTGATTGAATGGCTGTACATGTCATCAACTCTGCAATGCTACTATGTCATATCTGAAGGATGATGAGATATGCTCATGTTTTCCTAGCACAATATCTGGATTATTTAGCCAAAGAAGCATAATGGAAATTAATTCATTGGTTAAGGACAGTTTGAACATAACCCCTCCAAGCTCCAATCTTCAATTTTGCATACAGTTTTATAAGCTGAGTTTTATTAATTTTAACCATTAGTTTATCTGGCAGAAGATTATGCTGTTCAACCACTGCATTTTCAAAATTTTCTGAAGAGTTCTTCTCAATTTTCCAGCACATCTACTGTATCATTGCCTAACCCAAGTTAAGATGCATGGTGGGACAAACTATAACTACCAATAAATAGGAAACAGCTGTGTCTTAAAGGATGAGAATCATTCATCTGGTAAAGTTCTCTTGAAGTGAGACAGGAGAGCAACTCAGACTGCAATACTCAGAGCAGTGA